TGTGAGGCTAGAGCAGTCTGCTCCACCTCTAGCAATCTCACCGGCCGGCAAGGCACGGACGAGACCGTATGTGGGGTCTAGTGAGGTGTCTATGGACGCGCTCCTCACGGGCTAGCTGCCTGCGGCTAGCCCTATCTCGCACTCACGGGCAGTGACAATTCAATGGGTGAGTGTTTGCGAGCAGAGGCGCGTGGGCTAAATCTAGGCCGCACGTCGTGGCACTATGACGAAGTAGACGTGCGGCCGCAGCGCGCCCGCCGCAGGCTCGGCGGTGCGCGCGTGTTAGCGACAAAGTTGCGGGTGGAGCCATGCCCGACTTTTCGAAGGTGAGGCCTCTGCGACGAGTGCCAGCCGCGCTGCGGAGCCACGCCCTTCGAGCCGCGTCCCGTCAGCACTGTCCCCGAGTGGTCCCGCCTCAGCGGCACACACTCTCGACCAGGACAGTCCCGCCAACGGAAACGTGTCGCGCGCCGGCGACGATTGCGGCGTGCTCATTGTGAAGCCAAGATGGCACGACCACCGCCCTGCTTCGCAGACCGGGCAAGGAGGGGCCCGCTCCCGTTCCGCGAGGAACAGGAGGTTTCCCCCCCTCCCCCGGCCTGAGCAGCGGCGGATGGAAGGCAGCCCCGTGAGTCGAGGGCGGCACAACCATTGCTGCTCTCCAATGACCAGAGGCCCGGTAACTGCAGATGGTCGCGCCGCCCCGCCCCGCGCCGCCCGCCGCCGCGCCGCGCCGCCGCCTCGCGCAGCCGCCGCGCCGCGCCCCGCCCGATGATTAATAATTAAGATTACCCGGAATACGGTACGCAATTAAGGAATTAATGAGTGAATTAATCAATTAAGTGAGCGCCCTCGCTGGGTTTCCCCTAGCAGCAGACCGAGCCGGCGGGCTGTTTCTTTCGAAGCATCAACTCCAGCCTGCCTCGCGCCTGCCTCAGCCCGCCTCGCGCCTGCCTCAGCCTGCCGCCCCAGGCTTCCCCAATGTCCTCGGTCGGCCAGTCCCTCGGAGCCGTGAACCGCGTCTTCGTCAAGCGGACGCGCCGCGGCCAGGTCCGCACCTTTGTGAGGCAGCTCTACCTCCGCGACGACCTTCCGACAGGCTCGCCGCACCTCGATGACCTCTCGCTCGAGCCGCGGCTCCTGGGCAGCACCTACATCGTGCTTGACACGAACGTGGTGCTGCACCAGATTGACCTGCTCGAGAGGGCCAGTGTGCGCGACGTCATCGTGCTGCAGACGGTCGTTGACGAGGTCCGACACAACAAGGTGAGCGTGCACAAGCGGCTGCGCGCGCTCATCGACGACGCGTCGCGCCGGTTCATCGGTGCGTCCTCTGGCCCTCGCCCCCACGCTGTGCACACGCGACACCAGCAGCCCGCGTCACCGCTGCCGCTCACCGCCGCCACCACCGCATTTCCCACCCGCAGTCTTCTCCAACGAGTTCCACCGCGAGACGTACACGCAGCGCGAGCCCGGCGAATCTCCAAACGACCGCAACGACCGCGCCATTCGCGTCGCGACGGCGTGGTACGC